AGAAGCGTTGGATTTAATATATCACTCTTGAACAACATATTTTCGTGAATTTCTCGACAACCCCTTAAGATAATTATATCATCGACCACTCGTATGAAAGTTGAATATCTCACCTATCCAAGGCGTCTACATACATCTTTGTGCTGCCATCGACTCGCCTGCTATGAGCTGCAGAAATTGAAAAAAAAAACACATACTTAACGTCTTATGCATAACAGACAAATGACGGTATTTTCGTTTTTGTTTTCAGTGTTTTTGGTTTTTCGTGAATTTCTCGACAATCCCTTAAGATAATTACATCATCGACCACTCAGTTGAAAGCTGAATGTCCCACCTTTCCAACGAGCATATTGATATCTTCGTGTTCTCATCGAATCGCCTGCCATGAGCTGTATAAATTGAAAAAAACAGAAAAACGACGTTTTTTTTTAATGTCTACGGTTTTTCGTGAATTTCTAGACAACTCCTTAAGATAATTATATCATCGACTACTCGTATGAAAGCTGAATATCTCATCTTTCTAACACGCCTAAATACATCTTTGTAGTGTCATCGAGTCGCCTGTTATAAGCTGAAGAACATTTTTTATTCAGTTTTTACAGTTTTTCGTGATTTTCTCGACAAATCCTTAAGATAGTTACATCATCGACCACTCGTTTGAAAGCTGAATATCTTGCCTTTCCAACAAGTCTACATACATCTTTGTGCTGCCATCGACTCGCCTGCTATGAGCTGTAGAAATTGAAAAAAAAACACATACTTAACGTCTTATGCATAACAGAGAAATGACGGTTTTTTCGTTATTGTTTTCAGTGTTTTTGGTTTTTCGTGAATTTCTCGACAACCCCTTAAGATAATTACATCATCGACCACTCAGTTGAAAGCTGAATGTCCCTTAAGATAATTATATCACCGAATACTCGTATGAAAGCTGAATATCTCACCTTTCTAACTAGTCTAGATACATTTTTGTGCTGTCATCGAGCTGCCTGCTTTGAGCTGTAGAAATTGTAAAAACAGAAAAACGACGTTTTTTTTCAATGTGTACAGTTTTTCGTGAATTTCTCGACAACTGGCATCTTCGTACTGCTGCCTGCTATGAGCTGTTGATGAATAAAGTCGAATGTTGACCAAAAGTTATTGTTTTATTACTAATCCTACGAACTAATTGAGTGAGGTGTTACAAGTATCAATTCTGACTTCATTTGAAAAATAAAGAACAATTAAAAAAAATAATTAATGATTCCTCTTTAGAAATAAAAAACGAGGTCATGAAAGGTCGTTGCTTTCTCTAATAATAAATGATTTTTTTGTTGTTCCATATACAAAACAACATGCTTATTTTTTCGTACAACGATTACCTTAAGGGTTTTGAATCTATTACGAGTATGCAAAGGAACGTGCCGTGTCGTTAACCCTCCTACATTCAAGTATACAAGTGGCCAATAGAAGCATAATAAGAGTTAAACGAAACTACGAAAGTATTCAAGGAAGTGTCGGAATGGATGTCAAATTAAGGCAAATTTATGCAAAACGTCACGTGTAAAGTATGTAATATCGACGTGTCTGCAAATTTATTTCGGGAAATAATAATAATAATAATACGAACAAGTGTACACATTTTTCTGGAGCTGTTTTCCACGTGTGTGTGTGTGTGTGTGTGAAAACTCGAGGCATATTGAATTATGTGAAAAACTGTTCTGAATAATTTACCAATGTAAATATTTATGGAAGTCGTGCATGGAAAGGAGGTATCGGGAGTGGTAAGAAAGAAGGAGAAAAAAAATACACTGCGAGTGTTTGTATGTAAGCCATTATATGAATTATGCATTCATTTCGAAAGGACGAAGCCGCCACCACGCGAGGTGCATAGAATTCTCGCGAGCGACCCTCCATTCAGAGATTGAATCCTATAATTGGTGCCAACTAGATTTCAGTGAAAAGACCGAGAGTTTCATGAGAAAATGAAGCAAAGAAAGAAAAAGAAAAAAACACTCCTTTACTACCCTATTTTGTTTCCTTTGCACTCCTTTTCTGAAGGCGACGGCGGCGGCGGAATCGAGATCTCCACTGAAATCTTTCTCTCCTTCAGCAATTTCAATGTCTCCTCGTGTGCATGCGAGAAAGCATTGGTACGAGCAGACCCACTATCCATCCTCCTTCTACTCTCCAGGGGAAATGCGGCGAGAATTTGCATTTACATCTTCCCACATAAACTGCAGCTGAAATAAATTTCGTGTTTATGCCACGCTTTTTCCTCCATCTTACAGGAGGCGCAAGCCTCTTCCTTCCTCCCTTATTTTATTTCTCAGCTTCATCCCTCCGGCTGCTAATACTAAATTCTATCCGGACTCGCACAACTGACAGGTTAACCGCTTCGCCTATATAAAACTCAAATACACTTACACAATTAAATTCTAATAGGATCGGAACTGTTGGGAAACCGGAGCCAGGAAAATATATTGCATTTCGGATTCATTTTCTTCGCTTTTTTTTTTCTACTCCATTTTCCATTCGTTTCATATCGGACCGATTATTGCAATATCACTAATAGCTAATGAACATTATTACTTCCATCAATTCAAATCGATGCATTCGAACTACTCAAGTTATTAGACTTAATGGTTTCAATACATTAAGAACTTCACTGAAATTTTGTTGAAAGATAATGCATTAATATTTCTTTATAAACTTTACACTAAAACGTTTGAACAATTAATTAACAATTAATTAGTTTCTGAATAATTATGTGAAATGAAATGAAAGGCTGATGATGGTTTGAATAAATGAAAATCGTCAGCAATGTTATATAAGTCGCGCTGGAAGTTATTTACGGGACGGAAAAGCTATTAACTGTTAAATATTTAGTGTGGAAGTTCGCTGAAAATGACCGTGGAGAGAATGAGTATCATTGATGTGATGGCTGGTATTAAAACTAACGATGATTCCTTTGCGTGAGGTGTTTTGGGAATCTGCCAGGCGGCGATGCCCAATCGATTGGCAACTCAAGAAGAAGTGAAAAGAAAAAAAGGTTGTGGAAATTCTTTTTCAAATGACTTTCCGATGCTATTAGAAGCCCCGACGAGATAACTAAACTTGTAACAAATTGCATATTTCTTGATGAGATCGACCGACGGCGTGCGAAAGCTCCAATCGTCTCATCACTCTTCCGACATACCATTTAGTACTTTAAAGTGCTTCAAAAAAAAGTCTGTGTATATATAGGAATAGTGCTTCTACCCATATCTGCAGCTGACGCAGTGTTAAATCATTGAAAATAATACAAAATTTCATTTAGTTTTTTTTCTTTTTTTTTTGTAATTTAATAATAATTTCTATTCCTTTATCTCATTTATTTTTTCCAACCTGTTAAGTTCAAACATATTTATTTATTCAAAATTGCGTTTTAAACGTTTCTTCTTAAATTTAAGAATAATACTAGTTTTTATAAATTGAAACTTTGTAAATTAATAGCAACTTCATTATTGTCCCCAGATAATTAACAACTTTAGGTGAATACACTATGAATCATGTTTACAAATCGTCTTAATTGTTAATGGTTATACAATGAAAATAAGCATTTATACGTATTTTCGTTAAATTTCTTATGTTTCATATAGTTTTGTCTTATTTATGATTATTACGTTGTTATACTAATTTTGTAGTTCTCACAAGTTCATCAAGGTTTTATAGATTACGTTTTTCTCAGTCTTATAAATATATCAAATCTAAGTAATATTAGGCTTACTCTATATACGTATAGGTGTAATTAGTTTAAGTCTAAATTTAAATCTAAATATTATCACTTGATATTGAAAATCATATCGATTTCAAAGCGATTCCTCACTCTAAATTAAAAAAAATTGTAGTCCGAAATTCATTCATCTTATAAAAGACAATTATAGAAGACAACAATTTAAAACTTGTTTTATCTATTTACAAAATTGAACTGTACCTTCAATTAGGAGTAAAATCTATAAGGAATAAAACGTACTAAACTAATGCTGTTCATTTGAAACTAAATATTTAAAATCTTGGAAATCCTCAAATTCTGAAACTGAAAACATTTCAACTCAAGTTGCAGAATATAAATATTATATATATAGATTACGTTTTTCTCATAAATATATCAAATCAATTAGTTTAAGTCTAAATCGAATTCTAAATATTACCACTTGATATTGAAAATCATATTGAAATTCATTCATATTATAAAAGACAATTATAGAAGACAACAATTTAAAACTTGTTTTATCTATTTACAAAATTGAACTGTACCTTCAATTAGGAGTAAAATCTATAAGGAATAAAACATACTACAACTAATGCTTTTCATTTGAAACTAAATATTTAAAATCTTGGAAATCCTCAAATTCAGAAACCGAAAACATCTCAACTCAAGTTGCAGAATATAAATATATATATATAGATTACGTTTTTCTCAGTCTTATAAATATATCAAATCTAAGTACTATTAGGCTTATTCTATATATTAATTCTAAATATTACCACTTGATATTGAAAATCATATTAGAAATTCTCATTTCTTATACCCAATTTTTTGAAATTTTTTATAAAATTATTATTCCTTTTGAGAAATTACTACAAATTACAAATTTTTATTTCGTATTTTTTCAAACTTATTCATAACTGTTTCTTTCTGTGTCTTCTATAATTATTTTCCAATTTTGGAGAAGTTTGTGCTGAATTTAGTAGTTTGATTATTGATTGGGTTTGAGTGCTCCACGATCGTTCTAATTCACCTAGCCTCGGCAACAGCTTAACAAACTCAAGGACTCTAACGCCTGAAACCGCAAATTCTACCTTTAAGATTTAATTAACACTACCTGAATTGTTCAAAAATATTACCGCTTTTTTGAATAAAATTATTACAAAATAAATTAGTTTGATTGTGTTGTTGTTGTTAAAGTGTAGTAATTTGTAGTAGAAGTAATTGGATGTTAGACAAATGATTAATTAATTATTATTGGTTGTTTCAGAGATGAAGGGGCTGAACGAGAAATGGCAATGAATGGAAGTGAAGTGGTGTATCTATCTGGGGGTTTGGAGCTGGTGAATGGAGGCAGCAGCAACAGCGGAATTGCGGAGGTGAATTGGACGAACGGTTCGGATCCGGAGAGGGATGCTTGGGAACAGTGGAGCTCTTTAATGCAGGATCGTGCGGTCGTCGTCTCGCTGCTCCTGCTCTTCTCCCTGGCCACGGTCTTCGGTAATATGCTTGTAATCATAGCCGTATACAGAGAGAGATACTTGCACACTGCTACCAATTACTTCATCACCTCTTTGGCCTTTGCGGATTGTCTGGTCGGGCTTGTTGTGATGCCATTCAGCGCTCTGTACGAGGTGCTCGAGCACACGTGGTTCTTCGGGCCCGACTTGTGCGATATCTGGAGATCGCTTGACGTGCTCTTCAGCACCGCGAGCATCCTGAATCTGTGCGTGATCTCTCTGGACCGGTACTGGGCCATCACAGATCCCATCACCTATCCGATGAAGATGACACGTTTCCGGGCCGCTTTGCTCATCGCCGCCGTCTGGGTCTGCTCCAGCGCGATTTCTTTCCCTGCGATCGCGTGGTGGAGGGTCGTACGCACCGAACCAATTGCAGCCTACAAGTGCCCTTTCACCGAAAACTTAGAATACCTCATTTTCTCCTCCACGATATCCTTCTATCTTCCTCTCTCCTTGATGGTGTTCACTTACTACAGGATTTACCGGGCCGCAGTCGAGCAGACGAAATCTCTTCGACTCGGCACCAAGCAGATCTTGCTCGGACCGCAGATGGAGCTCACTCTGAGGATACACAGAGGAGGTGGTACTTGCAAGCTGCCGACGGCCGAATCTCGCACCCTGTATCCGCAGGAGGATGAGCCTTTGACGGCTTTGCAGAATAACGGCTTGAATCGAATGGGTCCCAACAGCAACAAGAACTTCTCGCTCAGCAGGAAACTAGCCAAATTCGCCAAGGAAAAGAAAGCTGCTAAAACCTTAGGCATCGTGATGGGAGTCTTCATAGTCTGCTGGTTACCATTCTTCGTCGTCAACCTCCTTTCCGGCTTCTGCTTACAATGCATCTGGCACGAGGAGATCGTCCTGGCAATTGTCACGTGGCTCGGATGGATCAACTCCTGCATGAATCCTGTCATCTACGCCTGCTGGAGCAGGGACTTCAGAAGGTCAGGATACAATTCTTTTTTTCATTTTAATCTCATAGATTTTGTACTATACAATACAACCTAAATTAATAAATATGAAGCTAAAGCCCGAAGCTTATAGTCCGAAACAACATCTTATAAAAGACAATTATAGAAGACAACAATTTAAAAGTTGTTTTATCCATTTACAAAATTGTACTGTACCTTCAATAATAAGTAAAATCTATAAGGAATAAAATATACTACAACCAATGATTTCCATTTGAAACTAAATATTTAAAATCTTCAAATTTAGAAACTGAAAACATCTCAACTCAAGTTGCAGAATATAAATATATATATAGATTATGTTTTTCTCATAAATATATCAAATCTAAGTACTATTAGGCTTACTCTATATACTTATAGGTGTAATTAGTTTAAGTCTAAGTCTAAATCTAATTCTAAATATTATCACTTGATATTGAAAATCATATTAGAAATTCATTCATCTTATAAAAGACAATTATAGAAGACTACAATTTAAAAGTTGTTTTATCCATTTACAAAATTGTACTGTACATTCAATTATGAGTAAAATCTATAAGGAATAAAATATACTACAACCAATGATTTCCATTTGAAACTAAATATTTAAAATCTTTGAAATCTTCAAATTCAAAAACTAAAAACATCTCAACTCAAGTTGCAGAATATAAATATATATATATAGATTATGTTTTTCTCATAAATATATCAAATCTAAGTACTATTAGGCTTACTCTATATACTTATAGGTGTA